AATGCGCTTTGACGGTTTAATCAGCTGCATTTCAAAGCTGATATGCAGAAGCAGGAGCAAGCAGAGGGACGACCCAATGTGCAACTCTTCAAAATTTAACAAGATAAGCACCTAAAACAATTATTTGTTAGCTCAACATTATAGTAAAGGTGTGTCTCAGTTGAACTTTTACTTAATAAATGCACTTCAATGGTCAAATTAGCTGCATTTCGCCGGGGCAGCGCAGCAAAAAGAAGCTGATTTGAAGGTTGCTCCAGGCATGATCCCAGAGCTAGATGAAGGTGGCAGGCTATGGCAAGCCGATTGTAACATTAATAACCACGTTTATCTATTACATGACACAACGGCATGCCATACTGCTCGAGTGCCATCTAGCGGCTGAAAATGGTAGTGTTCACTGTTTTCAGTCAGAATGAATGAAAACTGTCATATCTCAGCCAAAATTTGTTTTATAAATATGGGGGGAAAAAAAACAAAGAAGTCGCTTCGGTGTATAAGTCACAGTGCATGCAAATTATGCAAAAAAAAGTGCAACTTATAGGCCGAAAAATACGGTAATTGATTTTAGCCAAAACAGAACTTGCTATAACTCAATCACATTTGCAGATGTTGAGCTTGTTTGATGATAGTAGCTGAGAATCATTCACAACACTCACTCTGAGCACTAACGCAGCTCGCAAGTCCTTTCAATATTAGGTGACATCACGCATGTGAGGTTTGACCAAAACAGCTATAACTGTATCATTTGTCAACATAAGATGATCTTTATCCAAAACTCTGACATTAACCTCTGGAAGTCCCTTTAACTCCATGACAGTTAGTGTTCCAGGAGAAAATCTACCAAATTATTTAACAGCTTAAAAATACTATTTTTAAAAAGCCTTTTCCACAGTACGCCAGTCATATTTTGGAGCTCTCTCAGCATGATAAAAATATCACATTTAAAAATACTTTAAAGAAAACTAACATTTTAAGGGCTTCTAATAAACTCCACATTTCTTTTTTCATTTAAAATGTAGTAATTTAGTCATTTAAAAAAAAAAAAACTTTTATTTTTTTTTTCCAAAAATGTGTGGCTAATTTTTCCCCATAAAGTCTTCCACGGGTTAAAGGCTTTTCCCTCAAGAATACTAGCCTTTCATTTTAAATGTTAAAGTCTGACTTGAGTATTTAGTATTTAGTTAAGTTGTTTGTGGTCAACTATGGAGCGTAGAATTATACATTGTTTTAGTGAGTGTCCACAGGAAGATGTCTCCTTACTTTGACTGTCAACCTCTTGAATGGGTGGGAGTCCTGTTGTGGGGAAAGACAGTAACCATCAAAAAACTGAAACATGAAATTATTAATTATTTTTATTAAATATTTTGTTTTACTTTTGTATTTTAAGTAACTCACCTGACCAAGCCTGAAGCCCAAATGGCTGGTGTGGTGTCCCTGCTGGAAACGAGTTTGTTAAAACTGATGAACAGATGTAATAATATAAAGTATAAATAATAGTGAAGATTACCTTTAAAAGTAACATCTGGTTCTCGCTCACCAACTAAATAAAAAGCACAAGAAACATTGTGTTTGTCACAAACATTATTAATTATTAATTCTGTTTTACTTGTGGAAAACCATGATTATGCAAGCTAGGCCTTCAGTTAGGATGTGATACTATAGCTACCTAATAAATGCTGACATCAAAACATGACATCATCACTTTATTTGTAAAAATTGAATTGTTTTTATTTTAAATTATTTCTATCTTAACATGCGATTCTTGACCTGCCATTGTGTATCTGTTCCTCTCAAACCTAGCCGGTCGAAGCAGATGGTCACTTGTCCTGAGCCTAAAGGTTTCTTCCTCATGAGGGAGTTTTTCCTTTCCACTGTCGCCTTCATGCTTGCTCAAGATGAGAGTTCTGTGATGGAGTTAAACTCAAAGCAGTTTGCTCCTCAGATAAATAATGTTAACTTATTTTTTATTGTATATGAATGTTTTTATTCAGTGCCCTGAGATGACTTCTGTTGTGACTTGGCGCTAAATAAATAAACTGAATTAAATTGAATTGAATATAGTCAACTCACCGAACAAGAAGCACTTACCCTTTTTATACATCAAGTGAAACCTCTAACAACAACCTGAACATATATGTCAACCCAACACTAAACAGAACCATCAGGGACAACCCATCCGAACACATAACCTGAAAAAGTTCACCTACTTGTGTCCCAAGACTACCCAGCAGGCCCTGCGGCTCACCGAGCCTCTTGTGTTAAAGTATAGCATGTAATTTCAAAAATTCAGACTGAAATTGAACAGCACAGAACTTACTGTTTCTGTAAACTTTCATCATGTCATGGAAGCAAAATACAACTTTAATATTGAAAAATGGCAATGCAAACCTATATTTATATTCAACCTTCATTAATAAGAACAAATACAGTTTAAGTGTAGATTGCAACTGAATGCATCACAAATGGTCAAAAAACTAAACAAAACAAACAAACAAAAAAAACACCTGTAGGGGATTCTCAAGGCTCGGAGCACCTTGTTTTGCTCCCACTCCACATCAACATCTGGTTAATATTCCTGTCAGTTATTAAACAAACTCATCCTGGAGGGCGTCTGACTGAGCTCAGCCTTCTCTCCCAACACTGAAGTCTTAACCAATGACAAAGAACCTTCAAACATGTTTCTGCCTGGAGACAAACATTTGAAAGAATCTCTATTTTCTTGGATTAAAAACCGTTTCTTGCTCAACTGCAAAATGCTATACAGAAAATGAGAAATTAGAAAAAAAAATGACATTAAATATATATATTCTATATAAAATAAATATTAAATTAAAATTTTAATGTAACAATTCAGGGCAGCACGGTGGCACAACTGGTAGAGCTGCTGCCTCTCAGCGAGCAGGTCCCTGGTTCAAACCCCGGTCCAGGGGCCTTTCTGGGTGGAGTTTGCATGTTCTCTCCGTGCATGCGTGGGTTTTCTCCGGGTGCTCCAGTTTCCTCCCACAGACCAAAAACATGCATGTTAGGCTGATTGGTAACTCTAAATTGTCCCTAGGTGTGAGTGAGAGAGTGAATGGTTGTTTGTCTTGTTTGTCTCTATGTGGCCCTGTGATGGACTTGCGACCCGTCCAGGGTGTACCCCGCCCCTCGCACAGTGATTGCTGGACATGGGCACCAGCGACCCCCATGACCCAAAATGGAATAAGCGGATAAAGATAATGGATGGATGGATGTAACAATTCATAAATGATTAATTCTAAGGCCTTCACTGAAGGCGTAGAAGGCCCTCAGAGTTCCCCACTGTTTTACAGACAGCTCCATGATCTGAAAAATAAATAGATATGCATGAAATCTGAGTCATAATATAGATATATACGATATTTAAAAATATATATTTGCCATTAAAACAATAATTTACTGAATACCCATGTACATCCAAGATCATGTAATCTTTACAGTCCAACACAATCCAAACTTCCTGTTGTCCACATGCGATCACATGTGAACAACATGGTCCAGTCCTGTGGTTTGTCTGTAAAGGGTGATTCTGGAGAAGGGTGAGGTGGGAGGACTTACTCAGTTGACTTCAGAAAGGACGAGAAACACGTGGACATGTCATTTCATCAGAGTACAACCAGACAGATTAAACCCGACCTTCTGCCTAATTTAGATTCAACAACCAAACCACCAAAAACAATATTTGCTCAGAGAGAGAAAGCAGACTGCACTCAGTGAAGCTTCGGCTGAGGTTAGAGCCTGAAATATTCCTGCTTTTGTTCCATAAAACATATGAGTCATCTTGAGAAACTGAAATCAACATGAAAATTAACTTGTTTTGTGTTCCTATTAAACATGATACAGTTTAAAGCACTTCCGCGGGAATTTTGTTTAATGTGTCCATCATGCTATGATGTTCCGAAGAGGTAAGACCTGCATGAGCTCAGATAAACCAATCCATAGCAACAACAAAACTCTAATACATGAATAAATTAAACATTTTCATGCAGAGTAAAAAATGTTTTTAGATTAATCCCAGAAGTTAGCATCATCTGGGCTGCGAATGTTAGAGCCTCAAAAATGCAAGAAAATAGGAAATGAGTGTGTTTACCACCATGAACTGTGTGTCTGCATTTTCTCAAGCAGGTTTTCTAAAACCTTAAGCTCTTTTTCTGTTCACATCCTCCTAAGCTGTATTCTAATCCATGCACATTATTTTGCTGCCCATCTTAGCGCTCGCCACATCCGCCTCGGCCTGCTGTCTTACCTTATGGGCACACTTTTTAAATCAAGACGAGCCAGTGTAGACCAGATGCAGCACTACAGTAAGGCATGTAGGCTACAGGTGGACTGCAGTTGTTAAAAATAATTATTAATTATTTTCCTGGACAGCCAGGGTTGTAGCCTTGTGTGTTTTCTGCCATAGAAGAGCTCCCGTGTCTAAATCCAGCTCTTGTGCCCTGGAATTTACTAAAACTACAACAAGAGGGGTTCTAGATGGGTTTCAGACACCTGCTAAAGAAGTGAGAAGATTCTGCCTGTCACTACTTTATGACTATTTTGTTCCACAATTTATTTTAACATGTCCAGAATTTACGTGTCAAGACTGAAAAATTTCTGCAACTTCCACATGGAAATTGAGAACCACCGCAAATGTCTGGAGGTTTTTAGAGACTTCCTTGTGAACGTTGGTGGTCAACAGACACTTCCTGGTGGGGTATCAGCTTGAACACATGGGAACCGTCACTCTGGAGTAAAAGTGTACCCTACCCTTCTATTTATTTCAGTTTATTTCTCTCCCTCAATTCTATTTAAATCCCTTCTAATCACCATTCCAGCAGCGGTTCGTTGTCCTGACTGTTCAGATGTCTCATCCTCCTCGTGCTCTGCTGTGTTGTTTCCCACCAGAGTGTTGCCAAGTTTGTTGCCGCCGCGCCAAACTTTGTTTATTTCAAATAAATCAGTTTTTAGTTTACCTTTGAAACTCCTCGTGTCTTCCTGCATCTTGAGTCCAACCCCACACCGACCGTGATACCTGTAAACATCTGCAAACACATCAGCACAAAGAACAAGAACTTCAAATTAACCAGAGAGAATGTGCAAAACAACAAGCACATTCTTGTATTGGGCTGTGCAAATATAAAAAAAAAGAAGACTGGAGTCTCATCATTGAAATTTGCCAGAAAGTGACACATCACCCAGAAGCACAAACCACCATCAGAACCTGACATGAGCAATGCACTTGGCCCCTCTGTTAGCGAGTCAATCCGATCAAAGTAAACCGTTTCACCAAACTGAATTCATTCAAAGAGCTGCAGCAGGTAAGATATGAACTGTTTCACACCTTTCAACAGATATCCCTTTAAAAATACAAACTACCCCTTTGAAGGAGATTTTAGCATTTACTGGATGTGAAACTAAAGAAAAGCGTTTACCTTTTAACTGCAGACTGGTAAAGTGGTAACCAATGGGCACCTTGGGCCTTCCTGTAGAAGAAAAATACATTTTGAGGCCATTTTTAACACCTTAAGGCAACTCAACAAACTACTGGCATTGTTGTCGTTCTGTCTTTGTGCACAAACGTTTTCCAAAGTAGATTTGTCTGATCACAACCGTCATGACAGTCAGCAATAGGACACCCAGCAGAGCCAGCCAGATCACCATGAGCGTGCACCACCCCTCATCTGGAGGGAACACATTTAGAAACCTTCAGCTCAGCATGCCTGTCTGCAGAAAATGTTGTTTTTATTAACTGATTCAACCTAAAATTTAAAATAATGCATTCAACACAATTAATTAGTTAACATCTCATTATGACATCAAACAATGGATAAGATAATTATATAAACTAGAAAAAGTGTATTTCTTTCGAAAATGCCATGTGAAAGCTTATTGTTGACTGGTTAGGCTGAAAACTGCTGAACAAGCAACTACTTAAAAGGATCAGCAGCAGCTAATTAAAAACTAGAAGCTGAAAAAGCAGAAAATATGTGAAGGAAGCTGAAGGAAGCTGCTATTAGCAAAAACAAGCTGAAAACATGTGAACAAAAGCTGAAATGAGTTTTAAACAGCATAAAAGATTTAAAGAATGAAGGGAGCTTGATACATTTTCTATAAAAATGGCAGATAGGTAAATATTTCAAAAAGTAAAAATTGCACAAATACCAACAGTCAGAGCAGGAATGACCTGAATGAGCTGAATGTTTTGATGTATGAATTGTTGAAATAGCACAGTAATTATGGTCAAACACGGTAAAAAAAAAATAATAATAACATGGGTGGAAATCTGTGTTTGATGGATTCCCGTTTTTATCTGGAAAATATGACAGATTCATCTTTTAAAAATGGGGGCGTTTTGGAGCTCATCGCAGAAAGAAAGGAAGCCAAAATCAATACAGGAGGTGCAGAAAATTGGGAGGTGGTGTGCTCCTGGGAAAAAAAGTCATATAGTACAAAAGAGGTGAGAATCACAGCAGAGATGTGAGTCAAGAGAAGGAGAACAGAAAGAAAATTGTTCTATTGAAAAACGCAACTCCACTGAGGACTGGGAGGAATAAAATGGAAACAGACTGGTTTCCTGATCTCTCAGTGTCTCCTCAGGTAGATTGAAGCCACATGAGGAACAAAGATGAACCCTCACTCACGTCGACACCAACCTTTATCTGTTCGTTTCCATGGCAGCTTTTCTTTCATTGTTCCTGTCAAAAGTGTTTGATTGGAGAGCCGAAGGAGGCAGTGGCTTTGATTGGCTGATTTAGGTGTGGGAAGGAGAGGAAGACAGCAGTAGAAGACCTCCATCTGGACTTCACCATCACTCGCTTGGTCTACCGTCACTTCTGGTGGGTGGAGGGAGCTGTGATTGCTGCGGCCAGTTAAAGTGAGGGTCAGGATCTCCGAGTCATTGAGCTGAAGCCTGACTGACACCTCAAAATACATCTTCAGACCTGTGGATAGAAAATCAATAAATACAATTATATTCCATGTTTTAGATGAAAATTAGAATTTTGTGGCTCTGAACGAAAGAAAAAGGTTAAACCCTCAACCTGAACGTGTTGAAAACTTTGACTTCACTGGATTTTTAAAGTTTAGTAGTGACATAAACTTTACTAAACTTTAAAGGGTCATTTGGTCATTTCTCCTGTTTTTTTCAACTGAGGCTGCTGTCTAAATTGAAGCCCATACTGTCCAAACTGAACCTTCAGACAGTAATACATGCTTTCATAACAACCAGGCTTGTTTACTGCAATGCACTTCTTTTTGGAATCAGTCAGACCTCCATCGCACGACTACAACTGGTCCAAAATGCTGCAGCCCGATTCTTAACTGGTACAGGCAAAAGAGAACACATTACTCCAGTTCTGGCCTCCCTGCACTGGCTCCTGGTTCACTTTCGAATTCAGTTCAAATTCCTTCCGTATGTTTTCAAATCTCTGAACAGCTCTGCCCCCTCTTATCTCATTGATCTGCTGCAGCCATATGTCCCACAGTGCTCTCTGAGGTCAGCAGACCAGATGCTTTTATTGGTTCCAGGAACATGTCTTAAGCTCAGAGATGACCAGGCCTTCTCTGTTGCAGAGCGTGGAATGAGTTACTTGTCTTACACTACATGTCAGGCAGGCTCCCTCTCTCACAGTTTTTAAGTCTTGCTTAAAAATCCACTTTTATTCCCTGGCTTTTGACACTGTGTGATTATATTTTTTAACCTGTATGTATTATACAGTGTTAGCCATTTAGTTATTGTCTTCTTCCATTTGGATCTATGTTTTTTTTTTTTTTCTGTGTGTTTGTTTCTGCTGTACAGCACTTTGGTTGGCCTTGTTGCTGTTTTGTGCTTTATAAATAAAATGGTATGGTAGGTTTAACTGAAGTGATGACCCCCGTGACCTGAAAAGGCAAAATCAGGTAAAGATAATGGATGGATGAATGTTCTTTCAAATAGTTATCAACAGTTAGTAAGTTATTAGCAGTGGTATCTGTCATAAAGCACAGTTCAGTAACAGAAAGTAACAGAAGTCTTCCTGCAGAATAGCCTATGACTAGCCAAATGAGGGGAGGGGAGATTTAGCCTGCGAGAAAAATGTCTGCCTGAATAAAACCCAAACTACTCTTGATCTTAGCCAACAGGCCAAGCGATTAAAAAAACAAACTAAATGGTCTTCCTGAAGCTGTGCATCAACTTAAAAAGTGCATGACCTGAAGCTGAGATTTCATCCATGTTGGTGTCCGTTTCACACATGAACCAGTTCACTTTGGGCTCATCTCTGACTTTTCGCAGTTCGGGGTCAGTTGAGTTGCTTTGACTCTTCTGTGTGCAGATCTGCTTCCACTTTTCATCATCTGCAGTCGGAGGAGGATCACAAACATCTTTCGGCTTCACTTCAGCATTTTCTCCCTTCTTTGCCTGGCTCCTTTGTTCACAGTGCTGGTAGGGAAGGCAGAAGAAATTCACTTTGGGCACTGAAAGGATAAAAAGAATAAATATTTAGACAGACCATGTGCTCTGAAGTCAGAAATCAGAGTGAGATCTTGAAATGGGAGCTCTGGGATGCTTGGGGGAACGACAGAGAAAGGAATAACAAAAGCGTAGACAAACAGGCGGCTGTTCTTATAAATAACTGTTTTTAAAACTGGCACAATACAGAAACATTTCCAAACAGCTGTCAGTCACAGACAGATGGAGCCATGTTTGGGTTTTAGTCTTTTATCCAGAAGGGAGAGAATGAACAAAACAAGGCTCAGATGTTCTAAAACCTGACTTTGAGAGGAAGTTGAAACGAAAACACACAAAGTAAGCTCCTTCCTTGATCATGAATCTTAAATGTTGCAGAAAAAAAGCTCATCCTCGAGTTGTTTTGACCCACCTGTGGATATTCTGAAGAACTCTGGCAGGCAGATGATGAAGGTGAGGATCACCAGAAGGAGAAGTTTAGTCGCTACAGCTCTTACCATGGTTGTACAATAAAATCGCACACACATTCGTTCAAACCAACACACTGTACACGTGCACCTCCTTCCATGCTCACACACACAAATGCAAGCTTTAGCATCAAGTTTGTGTCCACCTAAAAGGTTCTGGCTGTCTTTGAGATGGTTTTTCTTCATAATTCAATCAGACGAAGGCGACAGAGTGTGTACATTTTAAGCAACTTCACTTCCTATTGCACTTCCTGTGTTTTTTTTTGTTTTTTTTTTCTGAGAGAGTGAGAAATAGAGAGACAACAAGGAGTTTGTCAGCTCGGTGTAAGTCCAACTTGTGTCTTTAGTTTGGGTGTAGACGTGAGATGGCAACAAGTTCTTCCCTGCGAGGAAAGGGGAAATATGGTTACAGGAATTTAGTTATGATTTTTCATCCAGTTTTAAGCTCATTTTAGAGACAAAGCTGTGACAAGAAGTTTGAAAACTGAACAGAGTCAAATGAAGGATGTCAGCCTTCAGCTCGAACGTTTTACCCAACAGCAGAAGAGAAATCTTCAGCTTAGGTCCTAAAACCTGTCATACACTAAAACATTACATACAGCGCCATGCATTTATTTATATGACAAAGTACAAGTCTGGTTTGTGGAAACAACTAACTGCTTCTTTAGGAAGACTAAAGCTGTTATCAGGAGGAATTCTGGCTGTTTTCTGGCCTTCAGCCAGGTCCTGTGGCTGAAACAAGCTCAGATCATGAGTCCTCCTCCACCGTGCTTGACAGTTGATGTGCTGTGTTTGGTTTTCTTCTAATGGGGACATATTAAGTCAAAACATCTCCATTTTGGTTTAGTTTGCTAGCAGGTTTGTTCAGATGAAACTTTACAAACCTAAGCTCTGTTGCTTTATTCCTTTTAGAGCGAAGAGACAACTTTTTCAAACAAGTTATCGTTTTTTCTGATTGTCTCAAATGTAAGGATTGACATCTTGCACAGTTCCACATGACTTGTTGAGCTTATGTCATTTTTATTTATTTATTTAAATATCTTTTTAGACACTGCATGGTCTGACCTTAAAGTGAAATTGTTGCAACATTTACTATTGGAAATATTGCCACTTGTCCTGAAAGTTTAGCAAATGTGAACATTGCCGATGTCCCCCGGCACTGAAGGATTTGAACAGTAATTGTTTGTCATTTCTGAGATGAATGTTTTTCTGCACTGGAATTGAACAGTGAATGAAGTAAACCTTTATGTTTTTGGTCTAAGATGTTCAAATGGGGAGGAGTTACACCTACGTCACTTTGGAGTGATGTATTCTGGTTAGTGGAGGGACAACCAGGCACAATGGTGGAGCTAGGGGGTGGCCATTGGTGGCCTTAACCACAATAGGCCTTTCTGCGCACCACCGCACTCCCCCGCCCCAACCACCACCACCAATCATTTGACGAAACTATGCTTTCTAGTTTCTACAAATGATTGGAATGGCTAGTTTATATGCATACATGGTGGTGGGCAGCCATTTTGGATTTTGACGTGGCAACCCAGATTTTGATAGAAGCCTTTCTTACATCTAGATGCAGCCACACCAAAATGGAAGTCGGTACTTCACTTATGTTTTCAAGTTATCATGCTAACAAGATGAACAAAGATATTTCTAACTCCCCCACTTTGCTGTGCGACTGGGGGACAATCAGATCAGGACGAGACAGGAC